CTTTTCCTTTAAATGCCTGGTCACGTGATCACAGACGTTCACAGAGGAAATTCATGCTGTCAGGGTAGGGAGTCATTCCTCCCCCACCTTTCCAACCCTAGGGTTCCTGGCTTTCCTTTCCCGGAAGCCGGAACTCCTGAAGAGACTTTCTTCCTCATCCTCTACGTCTTGTCACCTAATCTCACTCCTTTCCTTTCCGTTAGTCGCGAGTGCTAGAGCTCCATCTCCCTTAACAGAATCCCACTCGCCAGAGACAGGGCGACTGGGACTACGACTCCCAGGAGACATCGCGGGCCCCGCCCCCGCCGCCTCGCAGTGTAGGTCGGGGGCTGAGGTCCCACGGTCTTCTGGCCGCGTGCTGCCCGGAGCAAGCGCACTACAGGTTCCGTGGCGCCTCGCGCGCGAGCCGATCCAGGTCGGGGCGGGGCGGGGCCGGGCGGGGTGGGGCGGGGGAGGCCTGGGCTGGCCGGCGGGCGGGCGGAGGAAGGGGGTGGGAACGGAGGCGATGGAGGGGAGGAGTGGGGGAATGGGGGAGGGCAGGGGAAGGGAGGCGGGAGGCGGGGCCGAGCTGGAGCCGGAGCTGGAGTCGGAGCCGGCTGTTGCAGTGGAGGCGGTGATGTCGGTGCAGGTCGTGTCAGCAGCGGCTGCCGCGAAGGTGCCTGAGGTGGAGCTGAAGGACCTGAGCCCCTCCGAGGCGGAGCCGCAACTGGGACTGAGCGCCGCGGCTGTGAGCGCCATGACCCCCCCAGCAGGCGGCGGGGACCCCGAGGCTCCAGCTCCCCCCGCGGAGCGGCCCCCGGCCCCTGGCCCGGGCTCGGGGCCCGCCGCCGCTCTCAGCCCTGCCGCCGGGAAAGTGCCTCAGGCGTCGGCCATGAAGCGGAGCGACCCTCATCACCAGCACCAGCGGCACCGCGACGGCGGCGAGGCCCTGGTTAGCCCCGACGGCACCGTCACCGAGGCGCCGCGCACGGTCAAGAAGGTATTGGGGCCGGGCTGCCTCACGCGGAGAGAGGGAGGAGGGAGGGGAACCGCAGATCCTCGCGGCAAGGCAGCACCACCCTCCACGCCCTCTCTTCCGATCGTACTAGCCGGGAGAGCTCTTTCGCCCTCAAATCCACTCTCTAGAGATGCCCCCACCTGCGCCCAGTGCTGGGGAGCGAAGACTCCAGGTGGCACGGCCGTACTTCGCTGTGAATAACATGGAGGTAGCGCTCTCCGCTACTACTTGGAATAGGCAGGGGAGGAGAGGCACCTAATACTACCCTTCGCCCCCGCATCCAGCACACTCCCCTGTGTTATATTCCAGACTATTCAGGGAGGAGACCCCGATGGTCTAGAAGCACCTTAGGGCTTTTGAGAGTTCACCCAGCAATAAGGGTGGAAACATCTTTTCTATTTGGAGAACGAGTAAGCAGTAGTTAACCTCGCATTGAAATCCTCAGTCGTCTGGTTTCTGTACAGATGATGACTTTCTGCCTTTCTGTGGCCAGCCGCTTCCGTAGAGCAGTACTGAGGCTGTGCCCTTCATTCCAGATACTGCAGTATCCTTGCATCTTCTCTGAATGTAGAAGGGTAATGGAGAGTCTCTTCACTCTTTTCAGATATTCGTCCCCACTGCTTAGTAGTTGGCCACCAGGTTTTTCGACTATGTGTGAAGAGAATGATTGTTTCATTGGTTCCTTTATTATGATCTTGAAGTGTTAGGAAGAATGCTTCCACTTCAGAGAAAGGCAGTCATTGCGAGGCTGCCTGTCTCGTTCGTCAGCTTCTTTCAGACATAGTTTTGAAGAGCCAGTAGTCTCAGAACACCAAGAAGTGAGCCTAGATGTGTGATACTCCAGTATTACCCTTACACTGGCCATCCGTGGTGTATCTCTTCTCTCATAAAGCTAAATCAGCCCAGGAATAAAGGGGAAAATGTTGGAAAAGACAGAGGTATGGATCATAAAAAAGGGATTTATGGCTCTAATTTCTAAGGCATTATATGAACACAGTGACTTACTTATTTTTTAATTGTTGTGAATGATTTTTAATTGCTTTGTCAGAACAGCAGTCAAGTGATGAGAAGTCTGCAGTGGTTTCACTGTGTAACGCCTGGCTGAATTGGAACTCTGGATCCAGCCTAAGTTTTGTTGTAATAGTCTTATGATTAAGGTATACAGCAGATAACTGTTTCATTCTAATTCCCTAGGTATACGTGAGAGATGATGTCAGATGCAAGACTGAGGGAATTTGTTTAATTATGCTTTAGGACAGTGTCTGTCTCATTTGCAGTATGAAACTCCTCTGGAAGGAATTACAGGAGGCAGCACAGGTCCTAGGGCTGGTAGTGTCTAGGTAGGTGTCCTGAAATCTGAAACATTTCTGACTGGCTGAGTTACTTTATAACTTTGGTCAAATCTTTTTTCTGTGATTAGGGATCTTTCCGTGTAAAATCTGTAATTTGATTAGATCTCTCGAGGGTAATAGTGTTTAACAAATTACTTTTAGGGCATGGAATTTACAGTCAGGCAAATCTGGGTTTCAATACTGGTATCCTCACTAATTAGTGTGACAGTTACAAAATAACTGTCTGAATTCTCTGAATCTTAGTTTCCGCTTGTATAAAATGAGGATATTAATATGATTGAGGATTGGAAATATTTGTAAAGGGCTTTAGCGTTGAACTTGGCACATATACTAGGGGCTTAAGAAGTGATAGCTATTGTTGTTAAGGATGATTTTATTTTATTCGTCCTCCCATCATGGTTTAAGTGCATGTCCCTGTGACCTCCCCTGAAAGGTGCGCCCCATTCAGTAGATTCTATATAAAGAAGTTAAAAAATCCCGGGCTACCATATCAGTTTGTTTTTCTTAAATCTAGATGTGCTTCTTGCCCATTTTCCTTGTGCAGAACCACTTTCTTCCTGTTTTTCCAGCATCAAAATGTAGGTTCCGTGATTCTAGATTTACTCAGCAGCCTCAAGGCTATGGAAGACAGGGCTGAGCTTGCCTTACAATGTTAATTGCAACCAGAAAACAACTTTTGCTGGAAGTTAAGCAGTTGAAGCTCCGGGGCAAGGATACAGCTGTATGACACAACTAAAGGCATTGCTGAGCTCCATTTTGGGGACAAAATCTTTTAACTTTCTTGATACTGAATTGACTAAATTAAAATAAGTGCAGGAGACCGCCCTTCATTCCCCAAGTTGAAAGTCACCTCACTAAGGGACTGCAGTGTGACATTTTGATTTGTTGAGTCTTTCTTGATTCTTAGGTTGTGTATTTAAATAATCATTATGACCTCGGCACCCTTCTGCTTTCACTGTAGGGAGGGACTGGGAGTACTAGGGCTTGAAATAGCTGCCTTTGTATGTGTAATTGGTGAATACTGCTTTTATTTTGTAACTGTCACAATCAAGCTTATTTATCTTAAGTCACATTTTTGTTGATGGTTTCCCTTACACTATTCATGTATTTGTCATCAGTTTTCTTAGGTCTGTTATTCTGCTTAGCCACACAAGGGAAATAAACTTTTTATAAGAGCCAGAATTCCCAAGTGCAGTAGTTAATAAGAATGAACATATGGTGTGCAGGTTACTTAGTCACATCTTATCTTTGGCTCCTACCTCCATCGTGTAACTTGTGGTGCTATCATAATTTTGTATTAATGTCTTTCTTCATAAACTCATATCACGTGACCCCAACCAAAAATCTCTGTAAGAAGTGATTTGTGAAATAGGCAGATAAATTCCAAATGAATGCAGTAGTAATAGTTGAGAGGGTTTCTTTCCTGTGTTCTTAAAAATAGGATAATAAGAGTGTCATAGCACAGCAGGGAAAACAAGGCAGGAGAGGATATATTTCAGGAAAGTTAAAACTTTCTGACAGTAAGGCTGCAAGCCCAAGAACTGCAGCTCGTTTTTGCTTACATCAGTATTGGTAATGACCATGTTCAAGCAGTCTTTTTTTTTTTTTGGCAAACGTATCCACTTTACACTGGATTTGTTTCTGTCAGCAGAGAATGAGTTGAGCCATGTTAGTTCTTTCTTGCCCTGAATTCTTTAAGCTCTTGATTTGGTTAATTATAGATTACTAAAATGGAACCTTTTGGTTATAGGCATGGGAATGTGGGAACAGTATGACTCCTTTTGCCAGTTAGGAAAATACAGCCTTACAAAATGTTCAGTAAGACTGTTGGCAGATTGATCTGAATATGATTTACCATTCATTGGCCTTTTCTATTCCAGGAATTATTATACGCATTTTTCTAATCTTGACAACAACATATTGAGATATAGGTGGCATTATCTCCATTTTACAGATAAAGAAATGAGGTCCTGAGAGATAAAGTGCCTTGCCCAAGGTTATATATCTAGCAGGTTGCAGAGGTAGGACTCAAATCTGTTTTAAACCTTTACCTATTTCCAAAGCCCATGTCCTTTTTATTATACCACACTGATTCTTTCTAAATTTTTAGATGCTGGATTCTGGTCTTTGCCCAGAAATCTTTCAGAATACTTAGTGAACTCTAAGGTACGCCTATCTGGCCAAAGGTTTAGGTCGCTCCAAAACCAAAGTGAGGAGGGTCTGAGTCAGGATTCTAGAAATAAGACAGGAAAAAAAAAAAAAAAGCACAAATGTAGAACCTCAAAAATTTATAAAATTATAAGGAAGAAGAGTATCTTATATAAAAAAGCGTTCCAAAATCAATGATGCATTTTCACATTAATAATTTACTGACAATCTGATAAATTTGTCCTTACTTTAAAAAAAATGTATCCTTATTTTTAAAGTTAGAAATAAATCTGAAGGACCTAAGAATATGCTCTTCCTTTCTGTCCAGCTAACAATTTTTTCCCTGTTCTTTAAGTCCTTTCTTTATGAATGAGTCTCTAATTAAGCCTTTTAAATTAGAAGGAGAAGCACACTGCTGTGTATTCCGGCTACATACCAGGCACTGTATTAGAGCCTTGCATACACTATTTTACTTAATCCTTGTAAGAACTCTTGGAGATAGGTAGTATTCTCTTTGTTTTATTGAGGAAACAGAATTGAAGAATTAAGGAATTTGTCTTAAGGTTACACATTTAGTAATGTGATGGAACTAACAGAACTCTAATCTGTTTGACTCCAAAGCCTAGACTCTCTTGCTTTTCAGTTGAAGTTTCATTTCTCTGTTCCAAAGCTCAGATTGAACTTTTTAAATCTTAGTTAATTTGTATATTTTTTTGTGGATGTTTTTGTTATTTCACTAACAGGCAATTTCTTTTTATTTGTTGAGCTTGTGTAATGGTCTTACCATATATTTGAACATTTATGAGTTTTCTGAGAAAGTAGCCCGTATTTTGTATTAGCATAATTTGTGAATTCTGTTCTCCTTGGGCCTGGGAAAGATTGAAAATAGAGGTGTTTTGGGAGGTTGGTCAGAGCTGAAGTTGCAGTTGTGTATTTGATGTCTTGTCTAGTTAATTGAAGAAATGGATAATTTGTGAAGAAGGGAGAGTGAGTTTCTTTATTACAGAAGGTGTTTCTCTATCCTGCAATGAAAGGGGAAAAGAAAAGATTTATTGAAAATTTTATTTAGGCTCCTTGTCGAGTTGAGTTTATAAAGAATATACAGTTTCTCTCATGGTAGTCTTTGTTTAAATAATTAAGAGAAGTATAACTGAGGCATATGGGAGAACAATCCTGACAGTTGCCCCGATCCATCCCCTGCCATCGTGTTCAAGTGGTATGCACAATTAGAGGAGCTGAAATTCCATTTACCTAGTAAAAGGTTAAGTAAGCTTGATCAGGTTTCTATGGAATTTGTAGGACCTTTTTATAGTCTGAATGACCTGTGGCCCGAGAGTTAGAGCAGAGCAGAGGAAAAAGTAGATTGAAATTTCCTGTTACAGTTCTGAGTTTAAAGCTATTTTGATTAAATAACTTAAGACATGATATGTATGATTTTTAGCCCCCTCTTCCCCAACTATATCCTGCAACAATTCAGTTAGCCATTTTCCTTCTTGGACACTGGACACTTGGACAGCATTAATAGCTAGTGATTTCCTATTCTTTTCTTTAAGGTTCTATCAGTAGAAATATATTGGTTTGGGGCACCTGGTTTTTCTAAGCTCAGAACCTGTATTTAGGAAGGTATAGAGGTTCTAGAGCTGGTTGACTATAAATCAGGCTTTTCCTTAGAGCCTTTCTGAATACTGCAAAGCTGTCATTGAGAGTTAAGTAACCTGAGGCTAAAACTGACTTCATCTTCCCTATAAACTTATTTCCTGCAGTGCTCCATGTGAACCCTTCTGATCACTCTAACAGCTTTGGTACTGTTCACTACCTTGTCTTGGAAAATTCTCTTGGCTTCAGTTATGACTCTTCACTTATGGCTGCCATTTACTGAATACCTACTCTCTGCCAGACAGCTATCTCATCTCATTTAATCCTCATAACAACTTTATCAGATGAATATTATTCACTTTATTTTACAGATGAGAAAATATAGACTCAAAGAGAATAACTTGCTCAAGGCTTTGCCAATCTGTGATGCCTTTGGGGTTAGAGATGAAACACTGCCCACAGCAACAGTGGGAGGCTTTGTCACACTGCCAACCCCCTCCTTCTCTGACCAAATTCCCATGTGAAATCTGCTTAAGCTCCTGCACCTAGGCTGCTGTGAAGACCACTCTGCAACCTTTTAGATTTCAGAATCTACACTCCTTAGAGAGAAGGCCTAAACCACCATGCCTCACATCTCTGTTTGCCTCATTTACTATCTGACGTCCAGTTATCCATTATCTTCTAATACTCATTTCCTTACCACTCTCCTCATCCTCTCTGCTGATCCAGTTCCCCCGGATCTTTTCACCATGTCCTCTGCAACTTCCCCTTCCATTATCAATAAATCCCCAAGTAGCATCAGCCTCTAGCAGCAAGATCAAGTTACAGGGGCAGCAGTGGGGGAGTTGTTAGTGTGGCATCTGATATTCAGAACTATAATGGTGTAACCCAAGCTGCAGCATCTCCTGCTTAACATTAGCAATCATGTCTTTGCCAACCCCATTCTGTGTATGATTTTGGGTGCTGTTTTTTAGCTTTGTGGCCCTGAAGCAGGTTCTCCAGCCTGAGAGCTGAACCATGGAGCTGAGAGTTGCTAGAGAAAACCAGAAAACCAGGCAGAATGATGTCACTGAATTCATAATTGTCAACCTCATGTGCATAATCAGCATTGCCTAACAATATTAAACATTTCTCTAGTAAGTTCACTTTCCTACCCACTGCAAATGACTGTTTCATACTGTCTCTCTTTCTAATCTCATGTGTTCTTTTTAAACCAGTGATATGCCTTATACTTTAGTATAAAAACAGAAGCCACCAGAAGGGAATTCCTTCATTTCAATACCTCCCAAATCGACAAACCTACCCGCATCTGGAGCTCAGCTTTTTCTCTTTCCCACCTGTTAGATAGAGGAAGCATCCTTCATTCTGTAGAGACCTCTCTACAGGTGCTCTAATCACATTCTCCTGTCCTAAAGAACTTCTTCCTTTGATTATTTCGTCTTCTACTAAAGCCATTCCTACAGTATTCCAACTTGATTTAATCTCTCCCATTTTGAAAATCCTATCTTCTAAACCCCATATCTCCTCTCTGCTTCTATCCTTTCTACTCCCTTTCACAGCTAAGCTCATTAAAGGAGCTTTCAGCACACAGTATGTACATTTTTTCTTTCCACAAACTCTTTTTTTTTAAATTTTATTTATTTATTTATTTGAGAGAGAGAGAATGAGAGAGAGAGAGAGCACATGAGGGGGGAAGGGTCAGAGGGAGAAGCAGACTCCCTGCTGAGCAGGGAGCCTGATGCGGGACTCGATCCTGAGACTCCAGGATCATGACCTGAGCAAAAAGCAGTCGCTTAACCAACTGAGCCACCCAGGTGCCCTTTCCACAAACTCTTTAGCCCACTCCCACCTTAATGCTCTGACCAGGACAAAATCCTCTTGCTAAAGTTGCTAATGTCCCATCAGATTGGGAAACATGGTAGTCTGTTTTTTCAGCCCTCATCAAGACCTTAGTAACATTTGACATCCACTTCTTACCCACTCTCCTCTCTTGCTTCCATGACACGGCTCTTTATTAGTTTTCCTCTTGTTTCTTTGGCCACTTCTTCTTAGTCTCCTTTGTTGGCTCTTTCTCCTTGATCCTGAGCTGTCTGCTCTTTCCATTGTGTTTTCTCCCTAAGTCACCCACACCACTCCTATACCTTTAAGTGTCATCTACATCCCAGCAACTCCCCAGATTATTTCTTTAGCTAAGACCCCTCTTCCAAATGCCAATCTTGTATGTGCCCAACTGCCTACTTGCAGTTGGACTTAAGAATTCACATGTCCAAAATGGTATTTTTGTCTTTTTGTCTAATCCCCCAAATATGTTCTTGTTTTCTTCATATCAGTTAAACGGTGTTTACATTATTTTTTCTTTCCCTTAAAAAATTGTTTTTCATTGCATAAGTAATGCCTGAACATTTTCTTATAAAATAATTCAGTTTAATAAAGCAGAAGTTCTTCCTTGGTCCTCAGCCAGTCTCATTGCCTTCTCCACAGGCGACTTCTGCTGTCTATCAATTTATCTTTCTTGACTTTTTTTTTTTGACTTTACATTCATATTTGCACATAGAAGAATTTGTAGCTTTATAATAACTTTTACATAAATAAAAGCATACTATATATTTGCAGGTTGTTTTTTTTTTCACTTGGAGCTCTTTCCATATCAATATATGTAGATCTATCTTAGTCTTTTTGACACTGAATTGATTTCCAAAGTTCATACTATTGTTGTTTATTAAATCATTCTTCTGCTGATACATATTTAACTTAATTTTTTTTCCTTTATAGACAGTGCTATAGTAACTACCTGTATGCATTTGTGTGTGTGTGTGTGTGTGTGTGTGTGTGTGTGCACGCACGCATGTATAAGTGTTTTTCTAGGGTAGATAACTAAAAGCAGAATTCTGGAGTTGAAAGATAATCCACATTTTAAACTTAATGCCTTCAAAAATGTAGTACCATTTTACACATTAACTAACTATAAACAAGACAACCCTTTCACCCACCTTTACCAACCACTGGATATTTTTATGTCTTTTATGAGGAAAATTGTTTACTGTTGTTTTTATTAGCGTTTTTCCTACTTAACAATATTTATTGAGTGACTACTATGTGCCAAATGCTAGGGGTACAGCAGTGAGCAAAATAGATGAAGATCTCTGCCCTCCTACTGACTTGTGTTTTTCCTGTCAGCTTGTAGGAATTCTTTACTATTCTGGATATTTTTTTCTATTTTATTTCTTACTGACACTGACTTGTGACTTTATGATTTTGAAAGTTTTTATGTAGTCAGATTGGGCAGTGTTTTCCTTCATGACTTAAACATTTTGTGTCTTAGAATGGCCTTTTCTACCCCAGTTTATAAACAAATTATTTTATGTTTTCTTCAACTGTCTCTTTGGCTGTGTTTATTATATCTTGGTCCCCAGTCCATCTGGCATGGACTGGAATTCAGCTTTGCTCATAATGTAAGATAGGGACTGTTTGTGATATAAGATAGCTCTATTTGTTCCAAAATAAAATGTAATATTTTACTTTTTCAGGTTTGTTTTCTATTTCTTTTTCTTTAACTTGTCCTTCTCCACTGTTTTTATTTCTTTACTTTTAGCTGGACATATAGATGTAACTTTAGATTGAAGACTATTTAAGTCAAGAATGACACTAAAAATTGCCATCCTGGCAGTACTGAGTGCTTATAGTGAGTTATTCATCGAAGCACTTGCTATTGTAGCAAATTTTACTTATTGTTTATAAATAAACATAATTATAAATGTTTATTGTTTAGTGGATCTAAATTTATGTTTTGATAGAAATTGGAGCCTCAGTGATATCTCAAATATACATCCCATTCTGCAGTGGTCTATAGAGGAACTTACCTTCTGCAGTTATACTATGTTGGAAAAATGTGTGGTCCTTTTTCAAAATGACACCTTATTTTTTATAAGGCATTGCCAGGAATTGAGTACATATAATGAGACTGTAGGAAGAAAAAATTTTGCCCTGATTCCATAATTGTGTCCATCTACATTTCATTTTTTTTTCTTTCTTTTTTTGTTTCTACATTTCAAAGTTGATATTACCTCCTCTAAGTTGAAGAAAGACTTCTTTTCCTAGCAAGTAAATAAGGTGTCTTCTTCTATAAAATTATTGGATAAAGCTTGACTGAGTCTAGTCTTGGGTGACTCTGCTTTGGGAGACAGAAATGGAATAGGAATTTTTACTACATTCATATCTGTTGTTTCTATAAGGGAGAAAAGATGATGGGTCTAATACTGTCTCCTTCTAAGGGCCTTTGCTGGACTATATTATAGAAATAGGGAAGCAACTTTACTATTTCTGGATACTTCTCTAATAATCTCCCTAATGTATTGTGAACTTCTTTTGTGCAAAAACCTTGTATGTCCTGTGTGCTAAACACTGCTAAGTGATAGGACTATTAAAT